CAGGTTGGTCTTCGTAAATATTATCCCTGCTATCTCGTCATCATTGAATGGCTTTACTACCTGTATTTGTTTTCTTATATTCTTTATAGGTGTTAACTTAGTGTATGAACTTATTTTATTTTTTAACTTGTATTGGCAGCAAAGGTGGTCTAATGCTGAAAGGTCAAACAACGAAATTCAAAAGGGATTGAAGCACTACCCACTGCACCAGCATCTGAATGTTTTTCGGTTTTTAGGTTATTATGGTTGCCCGAGTGACGTTGAATTAGTCAACTACTTGTTGGAGAACTGTGTTGCGCTTAAGGAAATCTTTGTTGATACCCATCAGCTACACGAGGAGGGCTATCCACTTGACTCTGAACAAATAAAATTGGCTGAAATAGCAAAAGTTTACGCCAAACAGCAGCTGGAGCCGCTAGTACCTGACCACATTAGGTTATTTATATGATAACCATTTCTGTGTTTAATTTAATACTCTTGTTTTCCTGGTAATTTATATTAAAGACTTGGTGTGATTTATTCTCGTCTTTTGTTGTTGTGACTTTTTTTTTTTTTAGTATTATAAAATGATACTTTGCTTTTGTTGTAGTATCTCCTGACTTTATTTTCATAAATATTAAGTTTTCTAATTTTTTACATTTATTATTATTATTTGTATTAAATTGAGTAATTAATATTAAAGTCTAAGTCATAGTGAATTTATTTGATTTTTAATTATTTAAGTTGGATTTATTTAGTCTAAGTATCAGTTCTACTTTAAAATCGAGCCTTGGAATGATCGGAATTCTATTAAAGCGGACCGAAGTCGAATAATTAATTAATTCATGCCTAATCATTTTTGAGCAAGTTCAATTATTTTAGTCGGCCTATTTAAGTTAATAGAGTTTGTGTTCGATTTTATTTCTGCCTATTTCATTTTAGTAAATTGAGCTCATGTTCTATTTTATTTCAGTTCATCTTAAAAATCGATCTTATAGTCGATTTTTAAATCCAAGCTCAATTATTCTAGTAAATTCTACCGACTAATTTATTTAGTCCGAGTTTGATTAATCTTAACCGAGCATTTAATTTTCTAAGTCATTGTTCGATAATTACTAGCCCGAGTGTTAGTAATCATAAGACCCGATGTTAGGCCCAACAAGAGACAAAAACCCTAGTCTTCCACTTGTGTATAAATAGCACACATTTCCTTCTCCCAACACCACAAACACAAACCCTAGCCCACATCTCCATTTCAAGATCCTATATCACCTCCATAGCCGCCACCATCAAGCTCTCCACCATCTCTTATTTTCCGGCCACCGTCCGCCGAGTCCACGTCGTCGAACCCACCGACGAGCTCCCTCACGCGGCCGAACCAACCTCCAGTCGCGCCAACCGAGCCGCGCGGCCGCAGGTTACTACCGTACGCGCGTAGTGCACCAGCCCCGTAACGCGTCCCTATTCACGGTGTCCATACACGAGCACCCCAACATCACGCGAGCTCGGTCCATACGACGCGTCCCTGTGCGAGTCGCGTCCGTACGGCCTTGTTTACCGCACGTGAGATGAGATGAAGAATTGGTGAAAGACAAGAAATAAATAGATCTTTAGGTATAAAAGGAGAAAAGTGGTTTCTCATTTCCAAATACATTCACGTTTGAGGTCGGTCGGATATTTTTCCAGACAAAAAAGAAAAAATAAAAAAATAAAAAAACATTTAGCAACAAAAATAAAATACTTAACATAAAAAAAAAATCCCAAAACTACACATGGAGAGTAGTGATGAGACCACGTTGCTTAAATATAGGGAGATCAACTTTCTTTAAAAATAAGTTGAAAAAGTAAATAATTAGTCCAACTAATAAAATTATAAAGTTACTTAATAAAATGAGTGTTGATATTTACCGCACTCTATTTCGATATTTACCGCACTCTACATTGACTATTTTGTCCTTACTAACATTTAATAATAAAAAATTCAATTTTTTTTTTCTAAAATAAAAAAAAAAATCAAAATATCCGAAAAAAATAAAACCTACACAGGAATTTTGTAAGCCGCATTGACCAATCAAAATAAAGAAAAAAAAATAAACCACACTTGAATAAAAAAATCTGGAAAAATCCGAAAAAATGGCGGGACAATTCTCAAGCACCGGGAAAGGAGTCTCCAATTCACAAGTTTTTTTTTTTTT